CGGAGGAAGCCAGAGCAGTCTGCGTCTCTATTCCCTATTGGCAATTTGGGTAACCCCTACAGAGGATGGTGTGATAAGAATAGGAGGTAGGAATTGGCTAGGCAGTTAGGGTAAAAGACCCTGAAGAAATGTAGCCAGTTTCTTGGCTAAAAGTCAAAAGGTCCTTGGGACTGTTAGCAACATACTCTGTTCCAAAGGCCAAAAATGTCAAAAGTATTGGGGAACTTGTATGTAATCCTTAAAAGATTTTAGGGTTACCTCTTTAGAGGGGGGAATTTGTAAAAATTGGAAAAAAAAACCAACAACTACTTTCAAACCTTCTGGTGGAGGGGGGAAGGTAGTGATTTCATTAATTGATTTTGTATCCCACCACTTTACTGAAAGTGTTGATCATTTATTGAAGTTTTCTGGCAGAAATTTTGAAATCACTTATGTGTAATATATATCTGAAAATCAGGATAAATCAACCAATTCTTTTCCAATTAGTACTTCTTAAATTTAATTCTCTTGATTTATTGCTCTAGCTAGATTTTATAGTTGGTAAATTCTTAATAGAAATCCCTCTGTGTTCTGTTCATTATTTTATTCATATCAGGAAATTGCCTTTATTTCTGCCTCACTTATTCTTCCTTTATAAAAAGTAAAGTAAGGGTCCTCCCATAGCTGTTCTTTGTATGGCAGACTCCTAGAGCCATCTAGATGGAGAATGCCTTAAAACAATCCTAACAGTGATGAGAAAGGGATGGACAATGCTCAGCACAATCTGTAAGAATCCCCTGGGACAGCAGTTCTTCCTGACCTAAACATCTAATGACAAGCATGCGTAAACTATGATCTGCCAATTGACCCCAGGAGGGAAGACGCTGTTTTCTATCTGCTATTGGGGAAATAAAACCCCAGTGGAGCTCACATTTCTTTAGAAATTTCCACAGAATGGCTATAAGAAGCCTCCCAGTGATGCTGGGAAAACAGAATATGGAGACCAAGGGACAGAAGTGAAAGCCTTGCTCTATTTGGCAGAGGTGAACTTAGGGAACCTGATGTCTGAAGACGCTGTTCGTTCCTTGTACTCAGGATGAAATCATCACTAACTGAATGCTGAAGATTCAACCAGTGAGAACTTCATGAGGTAGAATTTTAATACTGGTCTTGGGCTTATGAGAAAGTTTAAACAGTAGCCAGTTATTCACCTTATGTTGGGCATCAGGTGTGAATGGCCACACTTTCCCTTTCCCTTCCCACCTTTTTCTTTCTGTTTTCTTTTTTCATTTTAATTAAGCTTGTAATTCTAAACCAAAGCTAATTTCAAATGTCTAATATATATCATGGGCAGACTTTGTCCTAATATAACTTCACAGTCCAGTGACTTAAAAAAAAAGAACAGAAATAACAGTGGGAGTAATGGTTATGGTAGAGACGTTCTGGAGAATGCATAGGTAAGGATAAACGTGTGTGTGTGTGTGTGTGTGTGTGTGTGTGTGTGTTTAAATATGGGGACGAGATAGGGGAATAACAGAACCCAGAATGTTTTTGGTGAGAAACAAGAGCTGCAAAGATAGGTAGGAAGGATTCAGTTAAATAAGGGTGAAAATGAAGGCATCCGAAAGAGAAATCTAGCATTCATAAAGCAATGATCTATCCCCATCCCCAGACCCAAGGTTATTATAGTAAACTTTGAAAACTCCACAGTGAAGCATGAAATGGTACATATGGAGAATATAATTATATACATGTGTCAAAACCTCAGTCAGAGAGTTGGAATAATGGGAAACCATGTGCGAGAATGGTGTTCAACAGATTGACATGACTTGAGGTATCTTGCTCTGAAATGTCTACCTATAGAATAGAGACCTACAGAATGAGTACTGAAGATGAATGGATTCCCAGCAAATAAATCACAAAACAATCATTAAGTAACAAAACATTCATGAAGTTTCCTTATAGGATGATGGAAAACACAGAAATCATGGTTTTATGGGAATCAAAGAAGAGAAGTTTAAGATTAGTAGACAGCTGTGTCTGGTTCAATATTGTATAACGGTATTAATTCAACTGTGAACCAAAAAATTTACAGCCACTTTTGAAAGAGATGTATCCTTGCTCTGAAATGTGTTACTGAATATGTTAAAGCTGTAATGACATGCTTCTTCTAATCATGTGGTTATTAAATAAAAAAGAATTAAAAAATGCAAGTGAACACTGAAATGTCCGCTGTGTTGCAATCGCTATGTTAGAAATGTACAAGAAAAAATGGTTTCTGAACAGTAAAACAGGAAGAAGCTGGCCAGCAAAGGACCAAGCTGTGAAGAGAATCTAAAGGAAATACAGTTAATATAATTTCATAAGTGAGCTGATCTATAAAGAAAACAAATACCATAACTGTCAATAATAGGTTTCTTAAATACTGATTCATTTCATAAACACTGCTAAACACACATTCTTTTCATATGAGGAGGGCGATGTCAAGACTCAGATTATGTAACTTTCCAACTCTCCAATTAACAGGGAAGGAATAAAAAATCAAACTCCACAAGTTTTATTTAACCTTTTCTATTAGCCAACATGATATACTCAAATAAAATAAAAATAGAAATATAGGTACGTTACTGCTCCTTATGAATCTCAGAAATGACAAACCACAAAACACCATCTAATGAAAGTAACATTTGTGTGTGCATGAGTGTGTGTGTGTGTGTGTGTGTGTGTGTTTGGTGCATGTGTATATTTTTATGCACATGTGCATTCATGAATTGGTGCCCACTGTGTGTGTGTGCGTGTCTGTGGATGCTAGAGATCAATGTTTTGTGTCTTTTGGTACTGCTCTCCACCTTATTTTTTGAGACCTCTGAGCACTGGGATTATAAGCACAGGCCATCATTCTTGGCATTTTTGCATGGATGCTAGGAATCTGATTGCGGGTCCTCATGCTTGCATAGCAAACACTTCAGCAACCGAGCCCTCTCCCCAGGACCAATGTTTACCTTTGCATGCTTTGATGTCCTTCTATATTATCTAAGCATGGTCTTTTGATCCTTTACAGGTCAGTCAGATGAAGATATGGAGAATGGAAACCTGTCATCTGTGACTGTATTTGTCTTCACTGGGTTCCCCCAGCTCCAAAATGGCGGCCTCCTGTTACTTTTTCCTTTACTTTTCATCTATATTTTTATTGTGATTGAAAACCTGGTGATCCTCTTTGCTGTAAAGTTGGATGACTGTCTTCCCAATACCACGTATAATTTCATAAGTGTCTTCTCGTTTCTTGAGATGTGGTACAACACAGCCACCTTCCCTAGGATGCTCCCCAATCTGACCAGTGAGAAAAAGATAATTTCCTTCATCAACTGCTTTTTGCAGATGTATTTCTTCCACTCCCTTGGAACCATGGAAGGGACCTTGCTGACTGTCATGGCTATTGACAGGTATGTTGCCATCTGTAACCCACTTAGCTACCCCCACATTATGACACCCCAGCTGTGTGCTCAGCTAAGTGCAGGATCTTGTATCTTTGACTTCCTCATTCTTTTACTTGCAATTGTGTGGATTACCACCCTACCTTTTTGTGGCCTCAACCAAATCCATCAGATCATCTGTGATTTCACCACTTTATTGAAGTTAACCTGCAAAATACATCTTTATGTGATAGGTTTATCAATATTATACATATTTGATTTTATATGCCATAGTTTAAAAACTTGGGATTTTATGCTAGGATTTGTGTAGCTACACAGTACTTATTGCTAGCTTCATTATGACATATTTTACTGATTTGGTATAAATTATTTCTGTCTTGAATCTTTTATATTTTCTTCCTATCACAGTTCTTACTAATACAATGATAATCATGTTCTTGCCCAAATTCCTTTTCACAAAACCATCACTTTGTATAAATTTCAGTAAGTGGAGCTATTACAGAAAAAATGCAAATATAGTTATAACTTTTGATAAAAATATTGCTAGGTAAACAGTTGTACAAATGATGCAAAAAATAAGACTTTCAGTATGATTTTAATAGCATAACAGATTTGGAGATTGAATGTAGAACTCTAGTTATTTTGTGGACCACATTGACTAGATCATTGGCAAGTTGAAATTGTAGCATAAATATTGTAGGCGATTCTGGTAAATTAAGTTATAGGCCTCAGTTCCACACATTCTTATGAGATTGTTAAGTCCAGAATCACAATTAGTGGTATCTCAGTGGGCTGTGTATACTTTCCAGTCTCACAATTCTAGTTTGGTATTTCCCTTACTTGGCTATTGAGGTGTTAATGGACAGTACCAGGATTTAATATGTTCTTTTGTAGTTGTTTCCCAGGGTTGTTGCTTTACTTTCTTCCTTCTGCTCACGTGAAGTCATGCCAGAGAGAGTCACTCACTGGTTCAGAGAATCAGACACATGGGATTGATCTGAACCCAACCTGCCTGCTTCTCAGAAGGGGACACTATCCAGCGGCTGTGCACCGTTCTGTGTTGTACATTGTGCTCTTCCTTTAGACCCCACCAGTGCAGGTTTAGGCTTTTATCAATCACTTTTAATTATAAACAAGTTATTGGTGGAAAACTATATATAACTTAAAACACTACAATATTGCTTTGAGAGCAAGTCTTAGAAAAATCACTGCAGCCTCCAGGGGCATCCAAAACTTAAATACTGAATAAATTTCCAAATTTGAACAGTCAACATTAATTGAGAGTTCCTTTTTCTACACATCTTTATAGTGTCTATCAGTCCTTGTACATTTGGCAAATCTACAGTCAGGTTCAGCTGTTTTATAGTTGTTAACTGCTTACATGTTGTCACTTTTATTTTTGTGCTGGTGATGAAAGCCAGGGCCACCTCACCCATACTAGGCAAGTCCTCTATCATTGAACTAAACCTATAGCTCCGTTATCATCTTTTTCCTACTTTTTATTTTGTTTCATTAATGTTAATTCATTCAAAAGTAACTACATGGACATTTTATAAAGACAAGAAGACTGAACAGCTTTGTCTGCACTGGCAGCCTCCAGCAGCTGTGACTTCTCAATGGAGATCTCAGGAGTAAGAGACTCAGCATCCAATTTCTCCCCCCAGTTCTTGTGAGGGGGGTTATTTGTTTTTTTGTGTGTGTGTGCATGTGTGTAATTTAATTTCTGCTATAAATTTTGACCTTATGAGGAATCTTATTATCAAAGGCAATGGCTAGCAACATTACCAACAGAGATGAACTCCATGAACTGTTGTGTAATCTCTGAGACTCTCAACCCTTCTGAATCTCAAAATATATGGTCAAGAAGTCTGATGTAGAGATGATCTTGGCCCATGATAAAATTTTGGGTTGCTGTGTTCATAAGGGCCTTGTCTTTTTCTATGATGTTAACAAAGAGCAGACCTGGGCTGCTACAGCAGGAGAGGACAGCGTAATGGCCTCCCCAGGCTTAGTTCTGATCTGGCTGCAGAACCAAGTGTGTATTGGAGAAATGTTTGAAAAATGTAAAAGAGTAGGCTATACACAAAATATTGCAACTTAGAAATTTTGAATATTGTTACCTATGAATTTCTCAATAAGTTTAAATGCAACTAATAAATGTCCTAAATATGTTTTTATGTATGAATTGAAGGCTACCACTATATGTTTATAATTGATCATCGTACAATAAAATAGGTGTTTATAACTAGATGTGTCTCTATATAAATGAACAATATGTCTTATAGAGTCTCAGAAAACATATGCAATACTTAAACTATGAAGACCTTAAATTCAAATCTAATTTTCAGAATAGCATGTTAAGATAGGAAGGGTTATATCAGACACTGTGGACTCAATCACTTGTAATAGAATATTTTTTCAATTGTGTTATTATTATTATTCCCTTTTTTAATGGGTTCTTACCACTGAGATATAGTCAGGAATATCCTGGGGCTTCTGGGGTAACTATTTCTGACTGTATTTTAGTCACTTAATTTTCTGCTTTGAGTATGGAATTGATGCCTGATTTAGAGATCAATTTTGATAATATAAAGAAAAATATAATCAATTAGGAATCAAGTAAGATAAAAATTTTAACTTCTATAAATATAAATCAGGTTAAATTATAAAAATATAATGATTAGCGGGCGGAGAGATGACTCAGCAGTTAAGAGCACTGACTGCTCTTGCACAGGACCTGCCTTTGTTTCCCAGCACCCACATGGCAGCTATGAACCGTCCATAACTCCAGTTCCAGGGGAATCCAAAACCCTCTTCTAACTTCCGCAGCATTGCATGACACGGTTTCACTCACATACATGCAGGCAATACACATAAAATAAAAATAATCAATAAAAAATATAACGAATAAAGAGCTACAGCACAATGTTAGCCTAAATTTGAAGTTAACAATGTGAACACGTTAGTTTTAGGAAATTATCCTTTTAGACTTCACATCCCCTGTGAAATAATATTCAATGCAAAATGTAATTTGTTTTCCAAAACTCATACTTAGGTTTCTATTTATTATTTTCTGGTAGGAGCTAGGACTTTTGCCATATGACAGGGTAGGAGAAATTGAAAAGAACACACTCTTTTCAGTCAGTTGTGTGAAATTTAGTGGTAGAATGGTGGAAAAATGTCGTGTAGGACTAGCCTATTACATTGTTAATTTGCTTTAGCCTGGAAAATATCTCTGCTAGTTATTTGTCTTCATGTAGAAGTCTCTGACTTCAATGTAAAAAAGAAAAAAACAACAAAGAATCAACATGGTTCTCCCTAAATTTCAATAATCAATAAGTAGGTATAACATTGAAATGGCCAGTTGATTTTCCTAAATCAAGCTGAATGACACAGAAACAAGCAGGGTTTGGGCCTTGCTTCTCTTTCATTGGTTCTCTTCCGCTTTACTGTATCAACACTACTCGAGACTGGTCTTTTGAGTTTTCAACATTTAGATTCATTAAAATGTCAATGAGACCAGGCATAGCACAGAAAGGGAAGCAGAGATTTAAAAAAGTGAAGAAAAGTAAATTGTTACATCTGGGACTCCTAAGAATTCTCATTAATACTTAGGATTGGGGTCCTCCTAATTAGTAGATGGAGCTGTTTTTCCCAGTTGAAGTCACTACAGGGATAGTTGTTTTTCTACTAATCTTGAGTCATTTAAATAGAATTCCTAAGAGAGTTAACTATTCTATTTCTGTTCAGAAGCAGAAGAGGGGAAGTAGGCGGTGGGGAAAACTACTGGAGAGTCAGATCTGTATATCACTGACTAATGAAGCAAACTGTGATTAGATAGAGGACTCAAGATGGAAGAATAACAAAGTTTGTTGCAGCCTGGCAGCTCTAATACCTCACACCACCAGGGTGGGTAGCAAAGACAGAATCTTCATCTAAGTTTACTCTGACTTTGGACCCCAACAACAGCAAGGTCAGTGCATTAACAATTTGGGAGAGATCAAGATGCACAGAGATAGAAAAACATAACCACAACAGCAGCGGGCGATGCCCCTGGGCCTGTAAATACTGTGTATAGCATTTGTGATGACTTGGAGGAGCTAGGAAAGCATATCATAGGATGAGTCAGTAGAATGTGTCTAGGTGTGGATTAGGAGATTTCTTCATAAATGGGCCGGACCCAAAGGATTACCTTAAGTCTAACACATTAGCATGGGATTGGTTCTTGAAATGTTTCATGAATAAATTTCCCAGTAGTCAAATGCAATTTCCAATATAGACACTGGGTACTTGATGTCATTGACATTTGTTCTAGATAGAATCAACACTACTGAATTCTGTGTAGGGAAAGCAGAGGATTCACTCAGTAAAGAAGAAAGCTGATTTTTCCTATCCTTTCTTTTTTTGGTTTAAATTCATTTCTTTAGAGTTTACATAAAGGTCTGGGTCTAGTGAAAAGGTACATTCATGAACAAGTTACTGATTCACTTTTTTTTTAAAGACAGGGTTGTCTCCCATAGCCCCAAGTAGTCTGGAATTCATTATGTAGACGAAGCAGATTTTGATCTCGTAGAGATCTGCCTGTCTCTGCCTGAGTGCTGAGTGCTGGGATTAAAGGCATGCACCACCATGCCCAGACTTGGTTCACTTTTTAGAACTATGTTCTAAGGGCCATAGTTTGAAGATGTGCTGGCCACAGTTGGGAACATCATGACTTACATAAGATATCATATATATATATATTAAAAAGTCAAGAAAACTTGAAACATATTCTAAAAGCACGTGTGTATATTTTAGGCACAAATAAACATATCAATATTAGAATATAGTCACATACACTCTTACCAGCACCCATATACACATACATACATTACAAAGAATAGAAAGAAAGTAATTAGAGCCACATGAAAACTATGAGGAACACTTAAGAGAACTTGGTTAGGAAACAGAGAAGCAGGGATTGGAAGAAGAGAGATTGCCCTTCCTGATGGTTAGAGCCTAGAAGATATGTTACATGTTCAGAACAATAATCATTTTTTAAAAACTGGATAAGTAAGTAGCAAGACATCATAGTAACAGAAGATATGGTGACTTTGTTTTCTACAATAATAACAACTTATTTCAAGATAGAATTAGAGGAAGATGAAACCTATAATGTAATGAAAAGTTAGGAATTTGATGGGACTTAGTCACACAGAAGCACCAGACATAGTGGAGTAGAATCCACCCTAATGAACTTATTTTAAATTAGTTTCTTCCTTGTACATGAAAATACAGTCACAGTTTGTGGTCTTTAGAATTAGAAATTCAATGTCTGATCTGGGAAAGGGTTGTATCCATGGCATGATAGGTGGAGACAGAATGTTTGGTCAAGCTAAAGCTTCCACGGGGACAGTTGCAAAGAGATTAAAAACAAAAAACTTCCAAAGTCATGTTAATGAAAAAGAATAGAAAGCCGATGGAGGCTGATAACATTGAGTAGACTGGATCTTTTTATATATGACTCCTTTGTGTGCAAGGGACTACAGAATGGAGGAATGAGGATAAAAGTTTGAGGTATCCTGATGCTTAGAGGCTGGAAAGTGAAATAGTCAGTGTAGGGAATCAGAATAGCAGAGTTTCAACATGCAGAGGACTATTAAAGATTGGATCCCAGCCTTTGAAGGTGAATAGCAATGAACATGGTAAGTTCAAGGTAGATAACAAATCTGAAGAGATCATGGTGCCAGGGGTAAGACAATAAATATGGATTACATGATAGGAAAGTTGTAGAAAGGGGAGAAATCGTCTGAATAGAGATGTGCTATTATGAAGACATGAATATATTCAATACTAGAAGAAATAAATAGAAATGAGGAAACAGATTATTACAAAAGGAGAGTAATTTAATATAAAAATGTGCAGTGTTTAAATTGGAGTTCATCAGATGGCATCTCAACCTTCCAACTGAGATGCCCCATATAATTTTAGTAGGGAAAGCTTGCATTTACCGCTAAATATATTCAAGTTTCACAAGATGTTTCATTTGATCAAAGACTTCTGGAACCTTTGAGATTCTCCTACATAGAAGTTGAAAACTGATAGGAAAAGGGGAAACATGGTCCATATTTTAAATAACATAAGACAATGCAAAAATGTCATTTTATTTTCTCCTCTGAAACATTTTAAGAATACAGGGAGAGAGAGAGAGAGAGAGAGAGAGAGAGAGAGAGAGAGAGAG